TAGTTTACTTTATACGATCTTTTTGACCAAGCACCATCAGCTATAACGGTTATTAACCCATTTCCGTCGGAATCTACTTCACCAATTTCTTTGGCTAAAGCTAATTCCTCCCGTCCAGCCTCTTCTAAGGAATCACAAAGTGTTTGGCCGATGATATCTGCAACTGTTTCCGTATGTTTTGCATACTGCCTGTAGGAAATCACAGGTATATTTAATGCAGCGTGCTGCTGCTGTATGTCTGAATAACCAGAACCATTCAAGTTCAGTGAATTGTTACCAGAATCCTATGTTGCTATCTCCTTTTCAATATTCCACATTTGACATTTAAAAGTCAATGTACTTATCAATCCGTCCATTTTTTCTTTGATAATCTCCATATTAGAAAAGTTGCATGAAAATGGAGAATGATTATTCAAACCTTGAAATATATATATATATAGATATATATATATATATATATATATATATATATATATATATATGTATATATATATATGACATTTAAAAGTCAATGTACTTATCAATCCGTCCATTTTTTCTTTGATAATCTCCATATTAGAAAAGTTGCATGAAAATGGAGAATGATTATTCAAACCTTGAATATATATATTAATATATATATATATATATATATATATATATAATATATATATATTTATATATTATATATATATTCAAGTTGCATGAAATGAGAATGATTATCAAACTGATGTATATATATATATATATATATATATATATTATATATATATAATATATATATATATATTATAATATATATATATTATATATAAGTTAAATAAAAGCTTTTAAAAACGGTTGTAATATAAATAATAAATACTAAAGCAGTGCAATTGCTCTCCTTTTCCTTGACATAGGACGTTTACTGGGACTCATTTTTTATCTTGTCTCTTATAACTTATATCACTAACCTAATGTAATACTTAAAAATACGCGTAAACTAAAGAACTTTTAACTTATACCACTAAACTAATAATATATTACTTAACATACACGTAAACTAAATAATTTCAATGTTTTCAAAATAAATAAGAATACTGTAAACTGTAAAAACTAAGCAAGTTGATAAAGAAAATACAAGAATGAAAGAACTAAAATGGATTCTAATTCAAGCGAACTAACTGACCGTACCCATAGAGAAATAAAAATAAGACCGTACCGTACGCTCATGTGATTTGACGTCACTAATGCGATAACGATCAAGCTCAGCGACAATGATGAGGAACACGTTTCACTATTAGATTTCAGTATTTTTTAGCAATTTTCTTCAAAGTTTGAATACGCTTTTCTCGATTATTACTGGACACAGAAAGGTGAAAAAAGAATCAACGATTACAGAAAAAAAAACTCTTTCAACTGATGGGCGTGAAAAGTTTGGTTATAATAGAACGTTAAACAGTATAATCCAATTTTTCAACAGAAAATTCAAAAAAATAAAAAAAGTAAAACCATCAGTTTAAAGGCAACATAATTTCGTATAACATGTCCAAATTTCGAGACATTTCGTCGGTAAATAACAGAGAAAAAATTTTGGTGCACCGATAAAACAGCCTTAATGTTAACTTAAAGAAATACACAATAATATGTTTCATTTAATTTGTATAAATGCATTATAAAGCGTTTTTATGAAGAACATCTGTTCGGAACACACTGTAACTGTAATCGAACGAAGATGAAATTTTGGCATAAATTGGTAAACTTATTTGACAGTTGCGGTGTTGACACTTTTTGTACTTTATTATTTTGAATTTTAAAGTGAATACCTCTTGTTTTACATTTTTACCTATTTAATAAAGTCTGTGCTTTTTAGAACAAAATTAGTGTGTTTTATTTCAAAAATGTCACGTAAGAATTTCAATAGTCGTTCTAAAGAGATGGTAATACTTTTGCAATAATTATGTAACCTATTTAATTTAAAATGGAGCCAGGATTTTTTTATACTTTGGCAACTATGTCAACTTCGATCTCTGACGTAGATAATGACGTGCATCGGTAAGTAAATTAGATGAAGTATAAGTATGTAGAAGTTTCAGTTTTCACCTGCATATTTTGAAAACTATTCATTTAAAAAAAATTATATTGCAAAAATTCTTTGCAGAAACTACTAAATCGATTTTAATGATATTTTGTGGGATGATTAAACATATTAAAGAGTTTTTTTCTCGAAATATAAAGGTCCTAAGTTTGAATTCTTAAAACTTGAAACTAGGATTATCCTATGTGTCAAATTTTGTCACAAAACTTTTATGTTCTATAAAATTAATCTACAATAGTTTTTAAGATATATGCAAAAAAGGAATGAAAAATCTCGAATTTTTTAAATGTTTTTTTGTATATTTTGTTTCCTTTTTTTTTGTTTTGTTTCGTTTTTTCGTTTATTCAAAAGTTAAGCCCACATTTTACAACTCACTTATAGTAAAGTTATCACTTGTAGTGATATTTTGGAGTCATTTATGCAAAAAAATGTCTTTATATGCTTCACACCCAAAAATCTTTATTATAAACAGATACTACCTGGACTAATATTAGATTACAGCAGACTGAATATTACATTGTTATATTACATATATATTGCTCTGTTAAAATTGTTTAGTTGGTTAAATTTACGAAACGAAACGCAATAATCTATAATCTAATTTAAAAAAGGTTTTGTGATATACCACACGTATGTGCATGCCCCTGAGGCCAAAACATTAATGAACAATATTGTGCTATTTGCAAGTAAAATTGAGTTAGGAATAAAAAGAATCACTGTAATCCAAACCGTATTCCAGAAAAGCACACGAATTATAAATGAAATGGTAAAATTTTAGTGGGAGAATTTGGATAATTTGCTGTTTCGTAATTGTGCAAAAGAGTTTTTGTTTTTAATAAAAAAAGTGTACTTGAGGTTTCTACAATAAAATATTTTTGTAATCCTAGTTGTGCTTTTTGAAACTAACAGCAATGATTTTGTTTTTGCTATTTTCACACTCTTTCTATCTCTTGATAGAAATTTGTAAGAAATTTGCATAAAAATTTTTTAAAGAATATATTTTCAATTTAAAAAATTTTTATGCAAATTTCTTACAAATTTCCATCAAGAGATACAATTCTCAATACACTTAAATATCAGATAATGTAACATTAATACCATGTTTCTTCTTTATATTATTATTGAACGATTTGAACCCTTGTTTCTTAGGGATGACTGTCAGATTGAACATACATTGACCTTGATCAATGACTTGAGTCAATTTACAAACTAATATCATTCTGTATGATGTGATGAACACATAAGATTTAATTTAAAAGCTTAAAAACTTAATTTTTAGAAAGTCTTTGATGACTATTAGTAATTCCAAACTATTAAATAATTTTGTAAGAATTTAAAACAATCTCTATTTCCTATACATGACATTTGTCAACTGTCACTTTTGAAAAATCGTTTAAAGGGACCGACATTTGATTTCATTAGTTCTATTCTGTCTACCTCCTCACAGCAAACAATGGTCGGGTTCTTACACCCGTACCATGACAAAAATTTTTTAATGTGTCTGTGAAGTCCAGTGTCGGTTTTTTGTATGTTTTTTAAGAATTTTTAACAACTAAGTAATTAAAAAAATCAAAATTTCAACAAATAAGGAAATGAGATCTCTCCATTGTAGTGGTATTTATAAATTGACGTAAGTATAAAATTAAAATCTTCACCAATTAGTTACTTATAAAAACATTTTATTGTAGCATAGCTCCGATGATGGCTTTGTAAAGCCGAAAGCGCTCAGCTAGGAATTATTAAAAAATATACACACTTCAAAAATACTTTTTTGCCTTTTCTTTTGACTTGTCTTAAATGTGTACAAAAAACATATCAGTCTTTTGAATAATACAAATTATTAGAGAATTATCCATTTGTTTCCCATTGTATGCCAGATTTTTCAAGTCGTTATAAGCCTTTCTCATGCTTTAAGATCATTTTTTGTCAATGGTCTTTCTCAAGTTACCGCGAGTTTTAAGTCGCCTTCTTGTTTATTGCGGATTTTGGCTTAGAGCTTTTATTTAATGGCAGCATCTGATTTTCCATGAGTGTGGGCAAGCCGCCTACATTACTTTCTTTTTTCTGTATTTCAACACTCGTTCGTTTTGTCTTCTACCATTCAATTCTTTCGTTTTAGCATTTTTTATTACCAGAAAATGTTTATGATTTACTTAGAACTTCAATTAATAAACACCTGGAGCTATAACGATATTTTTATCTTGATTTTTCAGTTTTTACAACAGAATAGACGTATGTTTGGTATTGTACATACAAAGGTTGCTATTTTGTATTATGTAAACATGTTGGCAGATTCTATTATCTTAAAATTTTTTTCTCAGGTTCAAGCACAATAATACAGTCCATATATCCGCAGTTGCTATGCATCCTAGATATAAAGAATTCGACTGCTTTTACAGTATTATCTACAATGTCTGAGAAGGATTAATCCTAACAATTGCAGTTTCAGCTGTCTGTTTAATACAATACATTTAAGTTTTATATTGATAAACGTTTGTGCATGTATTTTCTGCAAATTCAAACAGTTAATCTAATATTTCAAGGCATACAGAAGGTTTTAACTTAAGATTTTTATTATTTTAAGTATATATTATATTTATTAAATTATTTTACTTACTTCTCTATAAAATTTATGAAATAATTTTTAAAGTGACACTTACTTGGCCCCGTCTTCAAATATTGTATGTATTGGTCGGCAATTTTTGAGAATATATCTGAAAAATACTTTATATTATAGTGAACAGCCCTAAATATACACTTCAAATTTATTTTAGTTGCAAATAAAACATTACTTTGTGATCCAACAAGTCGACCAAACATAAAAACAAAGTGAATATCTGTATTGAAATGGTGAGAACATTGTAGACTGATATTTATGTTTCAGTTATAATGTTTACTTACAATTTATGCATCAATATAATTAATAAACTTAAAATTTGTATACCTGGATAAGCAGGGAATTTGTCTAATCCGTCAAATGCTTTATTAATTGCTGCCTCTATAGATTTCTGATTAACAGTTAACCATTCTGTTATAGCATTGCCTATGTCATCTAAAAATGTAACATAATAATACTTTGTTAAGTAAATTTGTGAAAATGAGTAAAAAAATATTTGTACAACTATTGTATTATGCAGGAATAGGAGAAGATCCTGGAGCAGGCCAAGACTGACTATGGTTTGTAATGTAATTTGTAAGTGTAATTTGTAATGATAATAATTGATGGATTCGACCGTTACTTGATGGAAGTTCATTTTATGTAACAATAAAACACTGAAAACTTTGTTTTCAAACTTCCACAACATTTATTTTAAATTCTTATTTCTACAGCTGTTTCGGCTGATTGCCTTTCTCAAGTGATCTATTTTTGGCATGCGTTTACACTTTATAGTCTTAATTGTAATAGATTGAAGAGGGAAGAACTGTTTGTCTCAAGTTGGTCGTTCAGAATTATATCTGTGTTTTTTAATTTGTTGAGTTCCATAGATTCTAACAAAGATAGCTTAATGCCATTATTTTGAATGTGGAGAATTTTAAATTCGTCATTAAAAGAATGATTAGAATCTAGAAGGCGAAGTGCGTATTTAGAATCTGTTTTTCTATTATTGAAAGCCCTTTTATGTTCTGCTATTCGTTTATTAAAATTTCTACCCGTTTGACCGATGTAAGTTATTGGGCAGTCGCCACATTTAAGTTTGTACACACCACTGTGTAAGTGTTTTTTATTTTGGCTCTGGTTGTCTTTAATATAGTTGACTAAATTGTTATTTGTTTTGAAAGCTGGTGTTATTCCTTTCTTTTTTATGCGTTTGGCGATTACATAAACAGGCAAACTATCAACAAAAATAGCTGTATGGGACTAGTCGCTGTAAATTTAGTTCTTGCCAAAAAAATATATAAAATGTCCATTTAATTGAACATCAGGTCTCAGAAGGATATATTAAAACTTCTAATGTAATACGCACAAACATAAAAAATAATTACTATTTAACTGGGAATAAGCCACAATTAAAGATAAAAATACGTTTATTGACGTTTCAATTTCCACTTCGGAAATCGTTCTCAAAATACAAACAGTAAATTAAACAAATTTTGTTTTTTGTTACATAGTGAAAAATTCTTCTAATAATTTAATTTTATCTGACTCATTTATATTGACAATTCAGACATACATTATGCATTTTAAAGTAGACGACTTTAAAATGATATTGCCAATATTGTTGAGTTGCGCTCCTGGGACGACTTTACTTATAAGATAGTTCATTCGATTACATGAAATCAACTTTAACTTGAGAATATCCGTCAGAAAAAAATCATAGCATGTAATTCGTCTTTAAAAAGACAAACACATGACATGATGACAGTAAAATTCTCCTGTTAGTGATTCCATAGTAAATTATGAGGGAAAAACCAGGAAAAAAACCTCATAATACTATCCCGACATTGTAAGTATTTGTTCGTGAATTTAGTTTACCTTCAACAAACATCAAAATTCTGATTTTATATGTTACGTTATTTAAAAAACATAAATGATGTATCCTCTATATGTTACTGACTTACTAATACTGGTATTTTCTTATTAATAACTTCCTCTTTCAATATTGGTAACCGATCCTACTACATTCTGCCGAGGAATTTGCGACACAATTGGCCTCATTTAGCATAATTAGAGCCGCTTCTTTGATTTTTCTTTTTTTACCATCCGTTTCTTTTAGGACTACATTTGAATTATTCCATTGAACCCTATGTTCATTATCCCAGCGTGTTTACATATTTGAGATCTATCAAATTCTCTATTTTTAATATAAGATTGATGTTCACTTATTCTAACATTTAATGGCCTTGATGATTCACCTAAATAAAACTGATCGCATTCACAAGGTATTTTATAAATGCAATTCTTTGTCCTTTCTTGTTCATTGTTAGGTTTGGTTTTGGACAAAATAGATCTCAACGTGTTTGTTGTTTTGAATGTTGTTGAAATGTTGAATTTATTTCCTATCCTTTTAAGTTTTTCTGATGAAAACATTTTTTATCAGAAAAACTCTAATTATGCTAAATGAGGCCAATTGTGTCGCAAATTCCTCGGCAGAATGTAGTAGGATCTGGTTACCAATATTGAAAGAGGAAGTTATTAATAAGAAAATACCAGTATTAGTAAGTCAGTAACATATAGAGGATACATCATTTATGTTTTTTAAATAACGTAACATATAAAATCAGAATTTTGATGTTTGTTGAAGGTAAACTAAATTCACGAACAAATACTTACAATGTCGGGATAGTATTATGAGGTTTTTTTCCTGGTTTTTCCTCATAATTTACTATGGAATCACTAACAGGAGAATTTTACTGTCATCATGTCATGTGTTTGTCTTTTTAAAGACGAATTACATGCTATGATTTTTTTCTGACGGATATTCTCAAGTTAAAGTTGATTTCATGTAATCGAATGAACTATCTTATAATAAAGTCGTCCCAGGAGCGCAACTCAACAATATTGGCAATATCATTTTAAAGTCGTCTACTTTAAAATGCATAATGTATGTCTGAATTTTCAATATAAATGAGTCAGATAAAATTAAATTATTAGAAGAATTTTTCACTATGTAACAAAAAACAAAATTTGTTTAATTTACTGTTTGTATTTTGAGAACGATTTCCGAAGTGGAAATTGAAACGTCAATAAACGTATTTTTATCTTTAATTGTGGCTTATTCCCAGTTAAATAGTAATTAATTTACAATGCCACAAGAAAATAGCTTCAGAACAATATAAAAAATAAGTAAACAAAATTGTTTAAACATACCAATAGTGAAATTAGCTGGTAAATTTGGGAAGCTTTTTAACTCTGGAATTTCCGATAAAGAGGCTTGTAATTGTTTTATTACAGTAGTGTACCAGCTTAAAATATCCCGGAACCATTGAAATACTGAGAGAGTAACCTCATCTAAGTCTAGAAAAAAACAAAATATTATATTATCCAAACTCAACATAAATAAAAGTTTTATAGATTATGTAACAAACTAATTTTTGTATAATTAACCTTTTGATTACTGTCGGTATGCTGAGATGACCACCTTTACAAACATTTCTTTTAAACTTTCTAGCGGTTTTAGAGTCATACGAGTTTCTAAAATTAGTTGCCAATATTATATTAAAGTGTCTAATCAGTTTAGAACCTTCTTCTTTTTCTTAAGGTGGCGTGCATTTCTGCATGATCGTCATGAGATGTTAAATAGTAAGGATTAAATAATTCTGTTTTTAGCAGCATTGCGAAGCATTTCATAGCTGTGGATTCCTGTGCAGCATTGTCGAATATTGCGCAGCCATGACATTTTTTACTGCCATATACAGAGGAAATTATTGGCGATTACCAATGCGGCTTTAGGCCTGGAAGATCAACAATCGATCAAATATTTACTACCAGACAAATGCTAGAAAAGTATTGGGAATATAATAAAGAAGTACACCAGATCTTCATAGATTTCAAACAAGCATATGATTCCATAGATCGCTTAAAACTGTGGAGTGCAATGATGGAGTTAGGCGTACCAAAGAAGCTGACCATGATTGCGCGAATGTGTGTCAACAATTCCTTTGCACAAATTAGAATAGGAGGCAAAACTTCAAAGGCTTTCGGCATAAGCACCGGGCTCAGACAGGGAGACCCGCTGTCCCCATTACTATTTAACCTATCATTGGAATACGCAATGCGAAAAATCTATACCAGAGTCAAACCAGACATAACTGTCAGAGGAGCAAAGATTATTCTCGCATGTGCAGACGATGTAGATGCAGTAGCACAGACAACACTGGAAGTTAAGGATATAGTATCGAACTTTGAAGAAGCAACACTAAGCGTAGGCCTGAAAATAAACGAAGAAAAAACTAAATACATGGTCGTATCAAAAAAGGAACGACAGCGAATAAGACAAAACATTACCATAAACGATCATAATTTTGAGGTGGTCAAAGAATTCAAATACCTAGGAGCAACAATTACCAGTGAAAACACAGGAGAATGGGAGGTTGAAATACGAATACTGGCGGGGAATAAATCATTCTTTGCCATTCAACATCTAATGAGGTCAAAGCTTCTCTCAAGGCGTGCCAAAATCCAAATGTACAAAACCATAATACGACCAGCAGTGACATATGGAAGTGAAACATGGACATTGAGAAAGAAAGAAATCAATAAGCTATTAGTATGGGAACGCAAAATCCTGCGAATTATATATATGGTCCTTGCAGGACAGCGTGACAAATGAATGGAGGAGCAGATACAACAATGAAATAGAGACTCTCTTCGGGAAAGGAAACATCGTAAGATACATAAAAGCCAATAGATTAAGATGGGCAGGCCACGTGGTACGGAGTGATGACGACAGACTGATTAGCAATGTGTTTTGGGAAAGACCAGATGGTAGAAGATCGACAGGAAGGCCTAGAAAAAGGTGGAAAGACGCAGTCAGGGAAGACCTGGAGAAGATGGAAGTAAGGCCATGGGAAATAATAGCACAGGATCGGAATCAATGGAAGGCAATAGTAAACGCGGCAAAAACTCACGAAGAGTTTTTTATGATGATGATGATGACATTTTTTACGTCCCAGACCTCTCCCACCCTCTATCTTTCCTTCGAGTATCTGTTGCTCAAAAGTGTATCTTTCTCCTCGCAATATGTGCCCCAAGTATGCAGTTTTCCTAATTTTTGATATAACTAAAAAGTTCCCTATCCTGTAAGCCCGCTCTTCTGAGTACTTCCTCATTTCTGTCCCTGTCCGTCCATGATATTTTAAGCATTCTACGCAGGCACCACATTTCAAACACTTTAAGTTTGTTAATGGAACTGGCCTTTAACGTCCATGCTTCCATTTCGTACAAGAGAACAGGCCACACGTAACACTTAAGCATCTTGTATCGAAGATTGAAGTCCAATTTGCGATCAGTCAGAAACTTACGAAGCCTCAAAAAAGCATTTCTGGCTTGTTCAACTCTGCTCTTTATTTCATTCTCGGGGTTCCAATCCTCGTTCAGCAAACAACTCACGTATTTAAATTGCTTGACCTCTTCGATTTCTTCTCCGGAGACATAAATCTTTGCGTTGGAGTAATCATTTCTACTTATAATCATTGGTTTTTGTCTTCTTGATATTTATTTTCAAACCCACAGCTTCACTTGCAAGAGTAAGATCATTTAAAAGGTATTGAAGCTTCGATACTGTTTTATATACCACTTATATTATGAGTCTGCCACTACTTCTGCGAAGGCTTTTTCAACGTATAAATTGAACAGCATTGGAGACAGTATACAACCTTGCCTTACTCCTTTTTTAATGAAGAAATCTTCTGTTTCGTTGAAAATTTGAATACGTACTGTTGCTGTATGGTTCCAATACAGATTGGCGATAATTCTTATATCCTTGGCATCCAATCCCAACTCTTGTAGGTATTTTATCATCAATTCGTGTTTTACATTATCGAATGCTTTCTCTTAATCGATGAAACAGACAAAAACACCCTTTCTTTGATCTAAACAATTCTGTATTAATGTTTGCATACTAAAGATCGCTTCTCTCGTGCCAAGTCCATTTTTGAAACCAAACTGACTCCATCCACTGACCTCTTCACATTTCTAACAGCCATCAGCAAAGTCTTCTCAACCAAAAATGCAGTGGTATTAAAAATATATAATAAGATAGAATAGTAGAACAGCCACGTGAGACAAATTACCGAGGCTTGTGCTAGTGTGAAAACGCAAGCTAGAAAGGCTTTTGAAGATATTAAGAAATAGTGGACATTCTTATTATCAAGAAATATTCACGTAACATGAATATGTATTAACCGATTGAAACATCTTATGCAACTAGAAGAAGACTTTGCTTTAAAAAGCATTACTTATAGTAGAATTCTTGCACAACCAGATTTATTAAGTAAAATTTACTTACTTGGAAATGGCGGCATACCAGGCGGTAGCGGGGGAAGTACGTTACTAAATACCGTGACAATGCGTACTGTTGCACCCTGTAAAATGGACGCATTGTTTGCAGTAATTACGCCAATAATATTTAGTATTTCATCCAAAATGGCTGAAACAAAAATATTAGAAATGGTGAAGGCGCTAGGTGCAATAAATAAATTTATGTAGATCAGTAAATTGTAAATATATTGTGTTTATATTGGATTAAGCCACAACTGATTGTAATGAAAATTATATTTTCCAAAGAGTATAAACCACCAAACTTGTTGATGACGTTATGTCTTTTCAAATATTAAAAGTTGATTTTCTTGGCCGCGGAGTTATAGGCAATAGCCATGAGGGCTGCTTTTTTTCCTTTTTTTTCCTGTCTGTTTCTTGCATGGTTATTGATGACTCTTTCCATTGATCTATGTGTTCATTGTCTTAGGCATGTATGTGACTTGTCGAAGTCCGTTTTTTATGTATGTTTTATGCTCCTTTACTTAGTTGTCTTGTAGTTCTCACTTACGTATTATTAGGTTTGAATAAATGGGAGAAAACAACTTAAAATAATTTGCCATGCAGACGACGCAATATTACTCTCTCAAAGTAGCAGAGTATGGGCCGGTTGGGCGAGACAGTGTGACGTCACCATTCTGACGTCACAATATGGCGGCTTGACGTCACCGCTGACTCGACGCTGACATAACGCGTCATAAATATAGGAAAAGAAACGAAAGGAAGAATTTACAAAGTCATCAGACCAATAACGACATCTTCTTCTTCAGTGGCTTATCTGGTCCGGATGTTGGCGATTGGTACTCAAGCTTACGTTGTTTAATTAAATTAAGCACTTCTTTTTCTTTTGTCATGCGCTGTAGGACCTCAACGTTGGTGACATGGTCCACATAAGATATTTTTAGTATCCTTCTGTATATCCACATCTCGAAGGCTTCGATTCGTTTTTCAGTGGCTTGCGTCAGTGTCCAGGCTTCAACTCCATATAGTAACACTGGAAGAACGTAGCACCTCACTATCCGCATCTTGGTTCCCAAACTGAGATCACTGTAGCACAGCAAGGATCTCAACTTAATAAATGTAGAGTGCCATTTCAATTCTGGATCTAATCTCTTGAGCGTAGTCCCATTGTACGTTGAGGTAGTTCCGAGGTAAGTGAATCTGTCGACTCTCTGGATCTCTTCGCTACCTGCCATTAGTGCCCCGGGATCTAAATTTGTACGGCTGACAACCATGAATTTAGTTTTCTTAATATTAAGGTTCAGTCCGTATGTTACGCTCACAGTTCGCACTCGGTCTAGTAAGGCCTGCAGATCATTTAGGCTGGTTGCTAGTAACACAGTGTCATCGGCGTAGCGGATATTATTGATGTATTCACCGTTCACTCGGATTCCCATCTCTAGGTTTGTGAGGGCTTCAGTAAAAATCTCCTCAGAGTATATATTGAAAAGAGTCGGCGATAGCACACATCCTTGCCTTACTTCTCGCATGATCTTCACTTAGTCGGTCAGCTGGTCTTCTGGTGCATCAATAATGACATACGCGGTAGCAACAAGAACTGAAACAGAGAGGACAAAAAGGATGTTGGAATCAGCAGAGATGAAAACGCTTAAAAAAATTGATGGAAAGGCACTATGAAACAGATATAGAAATACGACATAGATGCAAGGTGGAGAACATCAAAAACTAGTTAAGAAATAGAAGAGTAGAATGGAACGATCATATAAGCCAAATGACAACAAATAGAGTAGTAAAGACGGCAAGAGACAGTTCCTCAATAGGGAGACGATCAGTAGGAAGACCACGAAAACGATGGAATGACAACTTACTGAAGGCACATTTAATTTTCACTGTAGGTAAAATGTCTAAAAATACTAATCTGAAATAACAATTATCATTTTATCAGTTGACATTGTGAAAGTTCTGTCACTGTCACGATCGAGACCATCTGCGTCAAATTATATTTATGTGCATAAGTGATTGGATATCTATTTAGCGTATTCTAAACTTTAACCAATTATACATCCGTAAGTAGAATTCGTTTTAATATGCGAATACCGAAGTTCTATGTATAATAATAATAGACTCACGTTTTTTTCTGTCACTTTTAGCTTAATGCGTTAGAGAGAATTCGAACAACTATGACGCACTGAAACAACTATTGCAATTTTACATACCGGATATAGTTCCTGTCACATCAGAATCAACAGCTGGTTGAGATGTAGTTGCTGTGTGTGCCATACAGGCATTGAAGACTGAAAAATAAAGTAAAATAATAATCAATAAAGTTTGGTCAAACTAGAATATATAAACAATTAAAAACATTCCTACGTTTTTCTACATATTTATCTATACATAAAATTAAACAACCAGAATACAGCTCAAGAAAGTAAAAAAAAACTTAATTTTTCAGATTCCTTGAACTTTACCTCAATTTGTTTTAATTATTTAGCCAGTTGATCTGCTTTTTCATTTCCGTAAATACCTGTATGTGAAGACACCCAAATAAAAGCCGCTTCCTTTCCTAATGATTGGAATGTTTCTAGTTCGTTTTTATATTCTGTATAATAGGGTTGTTGGTACCTATACATTTGATTCAATTTCAGTAATGCATTTAATGCATAAATATCTTATATGTTACATTACAGACCAACCAAATTCAAGTAAAGATATCAAATAAAGAATTAAAACATCTTACACAACGTTTTCTAAAATAAAATCATTCGTCTGTAACCACAGCTTAGACCTAAAATTACGTCAAATAATGATCAAATGCTATATTTGGTTAATGTGGTTACATGGCACCGACTCTGAAGACTGACACAATTAATCTCCTGGAGGCAGTTAAGATGTGTTTGCACAGAACAGTGCTACGAAATCCCTGGGCAGCAATGTAGACCAACGAAGTTGTAAATAGAGTAAATGCCGCTTTTAAGTTAAGTTATTAAAAACTAAGGAAAATTTCATAACTAAAGCATGTTATTAAAGGAAACTGGTGAGCTATTCATTCATCTTATCATGAAACGTAAAATGGCAAAATGCAGATGTTATGGCTCAAGAACATTTAAGATTGGACAGGAGTATGTAGGTTTGAACAACTATTCTGATTATCTGAAGACTGTGAACAACTCACTAATGTAATTCTCAACGTAAGAAGGATCTAATATATAGTACCGTACAAAGAAGACAGTTTTCAGCATAATTTTTATGGTCTTAGCGAAAGCTTGAGTTTTTTCATTATTTCCTTGATTTACTTTTTATATATTCTGTAGTAAGTTCTTTATATATGTCTTAAGTATTCTAAATACTAATTTTAACATAGTTTTCCAAAATATATATAAACTATATCTTACCCAAGCACAAAACTAAAATTTTCTTAAGCATTTTCTTTCGTGAGGTTATGCGTATGACTTACACTGAGTATTAACAATGTTTTGTACGTTTTTCACTAAAAATTATTTAAATATCGGCATGTTTTTTATCATTGTATTAAAAAACAGGTACATGGTAATGTTGTTGCTTTATATTTGAAATAATTTGTTCTATGTATGGTAAAAAATTACAAAATATGCGTACGATAATAAAATTTAAATTTTTTTGGTATAAATATTCTTGTTAGGTGATGCCATGGGAAGTATTTTAATGACACCTAACTACGTAAAGAATATTTTACTTTATTTTTAAGGATTTTTATTTATTGGTGTTATACAGTGCGTCCATACAATAAAGCATAATTTTAAAAAATACTAAAAAAACTTCCACAAAATTTATTATAAACTCCATTACTACAGCTGTTTCGGCCTTTTTCAAGTGATCTATTTTTGGCATGCTTTACGCTTTATAGTCTTTAATGAAATAGGTTGAGGAAGGGAGAACTGTTTGTCTAAGTTGGTCATTCAGAATTATATCTGTGTTTTTTAATTTGTTAATTTCCATAGATTCCAAAGACAGCTTAAGACCTTTATTTTGAATGTGAAAATTTTTAAATTCGTCATTAAAAGAAAGGTTATGATCTAGAAGGTGAAGTGCGTATGTAGAATCTGTTTTTCTATTGTTGAAAGCCCTTTTATGTTCTGCTATTCGTTTATTAAAATTTCTACCAGTTTGACCGATGTAAGTTTTTGGGCAGTCGCCACATTTAAGTTTGTATACACCACTGTGTAAGTGCTTTTTATTTTGGCTCTTGTTGTTTTTAATATATTTGCCTAAGTTGTTATTTGTTCTGAAAGCTGGTGTTATTCCTTTCTTTTTTATGTGTTTAGCTATTTTTGTTGATATTTTGCCTGTATATGTAATTGAGCAAAAGTACTGGTTTACTGCTATTGGGCTTAATGCTATTTACTTCCGTCTCAAAGTTGTATTTTGACATCGAAATTTCTGTTAATCTATGTAACATACTATGATAGGCTGCCAGTTTATGTTGGTGGGACTGGATGATAAATTTTGTATAGTCATGTCAGTATGGGTAGGTTTATGAAATATAGAGAAGACTGTTTATTTTTAAGTCTGTTCATTTTTAAATCTAAAAAATTTATGGATTGATTTTGTTCTATTTCTATTGTAAATTCAATATGACTATAAAGTGCATTTATATACGATAAAAATTGGTCAAATTGTCTGTTAGTTCCTGTAAAACATACCAGTTCGTCGTCTACGTATCTCCACCAATATAAAAACTGTTTTAATATGATGTATTGAAATCTTTGTCTCTAGATGATCCATAAAAATATCTGATAGTAATGGGCTTAGAGGATTGCCCATTATAAGTCCTGCACTGGTATATTTGATTTTATGAAAATTGCAAGAAGATAATAGAAGTAAAGTAAAATTTGAGATGTAATGATTGGATTTGTACTATTTTGGTTACTAGAATACAAGTTTTTGTAGGAGGAATACTGGGAACAAGATTTTTTACGTCAAATGAACTTAATCTGGAGTTGTTAGGTAATTAAAAATGTTGTATTTTATTAACTAGTTCTATTGTATTTTTTATGGTAAATTTAGGTGAAAATGTAGTGTGTTCTAAAATAATCTCTAACAGTTTTTTTGAAAGTTTATATGACGGAGCTGTATAAAAAGAAACTGCAGGTCTTATTGTGTAATCCAGTTTGTGTAGTTTAATAAAAGAGTATAATTTATGAAGCTGTAGGTTCATGATATTGAGGTATTTCTGTTCTGTTAGGTTTACTATTTTGATTTTCAATTTTCTAACGCTAGCTTATTATGTTTTTGATACTTTTCTATCTGATCTTTATGTAACGTTTCAATATTTTAATTATTTAAAAATTCTATTGTTTTACTATATTCTATTATATCTATAGCAATAGTAGTGTTACCTTTGTCTGCTTTTGTAAACACTATGTTGTTTTCTATTGATTTATTTTTAATTGAAATGGCTGTTTTATTCTCATTGTCACAGGCATTTTTGAAAAATTTCAAATTTTCACAAAAACAACATAAACGAAAAAGTTCCAATGAACATATTATTACAGCTTTACGGAAACTAGCTACAATTTTTAATTTTGGGGATTATTTAAACAAAGCTCTTAGGAATCAAGTCATACTTTAGTCTAAATAACCAAAATATTTAAAGCAAACTTCTCAAATATAAGGATCTTTAAGAACAATTAAGAAAGCAATAAAAGTTTCCATCTGTTTGGAGACATCAACTAGAGACTCATGTAAATTTAAATAAAGTTTCTAGTGTCAAGAATATAGCCTATTTTGAACACCTAGTAAGGGGAGACCGATATAATATTCTTCAACTTATTATGATGGGTAAAATCGAAGGACGCAGAGGAATTGGTAGAAAGCAGGCCTCTTGATTGAAGAATATCAGGCTGAGCAGCTCTTTAGAATAGCTCGAGACAGAGACAGTTTCGCCATGTTAATCGCCAACGTCAAGGGGACTTGATAGAGCACGTTAAGAAGAAGTGTCAAGAAATAAACAAGGACACATACTACCTATAAATGATAAAAGAAATGGTTAAAAATGTTTAAGTTATTACCCTTGCTGCTAAAATGCAAAAAATACAAAAAAAATGTTTTTTGACCACTTAGATTACACTTTGAATCTAAGTAATTCGTTTGGTTTATAACACAGTTAAAGAGTCCTGCAAATTTTAATAAAATCAATTTTAGATATTTTGCATAATAATTTTTCACGACAAAATCCAGACCATACAGAAGTTTGCCAATTTTTTTGTTTATAAAAATGTACTATGTAAATGTATGATCTAACGATTCTAACGTACTTTATAAAATTAAAATCGTACTATTTGAACGGTGTCGGGAATGTTTTAAATTGTAAACAATTTTTTGGCTTTGACCACAGTTTTGAACTATGGAAGCAAGTATACAAATGAATCGATAAAAGAAGAAAGCGCTTTTTCAAATTTCGTAAGATAAGCTAGCCAGACACGCAGGGAGTATATAGATCACATCAGTAGAGTGGACGATGAGAAGCTCGCAATAATTACAAGGTCTCAAAAAGCCAATACATGAAAACCACCTGGAGGACCCATAAAACAATAATCATCATCATCAGCCTCAAGAGTCCACTGCTGAACATAGGCCTCTTCCTCATGTTTCCAACCCCGTCTATCTTGCGCCGCTCTTATCCAGTTTTTATTGAGTTTTCTTAAATCGTCAGTCCATCTTGTAGGTGGTCGACCGACGCTTCTCTTGTCTTCCCTTGGCCTCCATTCCAATAACCTCTTTGTCCATCGCCCATCTGTCATTCTGGCTATGTGTCCTGCCCATCTCCATTTTAGTCTGGCTATCTTCTCGATGATGTCAGTCACTCCGGTTCTTCTCCTGATGTCTTCGTTTGTTATTCTGTCTCGGAGAGTTATTCCTAACATGGACCGCTCCATTCTTCTCTGCGTGACTCTCAGTTTGGTAGCTGCTGCTTTTGTTAAGGTAAGTGTTTCTGCTCCGTACGTCAAGACTGGGAGGACGCACTGATCAAATACCTTTCTCTTTAGGCATGTGGGCAGCTCACTTTTAAAAGTTTCTCTCAGTTTTCCAAATGCTGCCCACCCAAGGCCGACTCTTCTCTTCAGTTCATGAGTCTGGTTATCTCTGCCAATCATAATTTCATGTCCCAGGTATTTATATCTATCTACGAGTTCTATTTCTTTCCCACCAATACTGATGTTCTGGTTGGGCACCAAATTGGTCATGATTTTTGTTTTCGAGATATTTATATTTAAACCTACATTTTCTGTAGCCACAACGAGTTCCTGTACCATCTCTCTTGCCATACCTAGATCTTCAGCTATTATAAGTATATCATCGGCGAAACGTAAGTTGTTTAGATATTCTCCATCTATTTTTATTCCCTTTGTCATCCAATCCAAATTCTTAAAAGCATGTTCTAGCACCGTATTAAAAAGTTTAGGTGACATTGGGTCTCCTTGTCTAACCCCCGTTCTATTTTTATGCGATTACTGTTAGTATGTAATTTGACAGTGGTTGTTGCCTGCAGGTATATTTTGTATAATAATTTAGTATATCTATAATCTAGCCTGCATTCTTTAAGCGCCTGTAATATTTTGCTTAGCTCAACTGTGTCAAAGGCTTTGTGAAAATCGATAAATATTAGAACTAGAGGTTTATTGTATTCCACTGCTTTCTCTATTAGAGTTTTTATACTTTGTAGATGGTCATTTGTTCCGTAACTTTTTCGGAATCCTGACTGTTCCCTTGGTTGATAAGTCTCTAATTTTCTTTCCATTCTCTTAACTAGTATTCGCGTAAACAACTTATATATATGGCTGAGGAGGCTAATCGGTCTGTAATTCTCTAAATTTGCTTTGTCTCCTGCTTTGTGTAATAGAATCATAGTAGCGTTGTTCCAGTCTGTTGGAATATTGGCGCTGTGAAGGCAGATATTGAAAAGTTGTTTAATTTTTTCAAGTAATACATCCCCTCCAATTTTTCCATCTTCTTCTACTTCTGATACTATTCCATCTTCACCAGGGTTCGATTATTTTTCATTTTCTTCAGGGCTTCTTTGATTTCTGATTTTGTTATATTGGGCATTAAATCTGATCCTTGGTTTAATACCCCAGTTTTTAGTGTAATTGGAGGTTCCGTATTGTTATCTTTTTTTCTTGATCTATATAACTCTGTGTAGAACTCTTCGACTATTCTTAATATTTCATCTCTGTTCGTTGTTTCTTCTCCACTTCTGTTTCTCAGTTTGTTAATTTCTATTTTCCCCTTTTGTACGCTCCTCTTCAAAACTTTCATGTTCTTATTTTTCTCTATTGCCTGTTTTGTTTTTTTACATAGTAGTTTCTTATGTCTTTTCTTATTGCCTTTGTGATCGTCTTATTTATTTGATTTATCGTTTCTTTGCTTGCAGTGTTATCTCCTTT